TCTGTGTTTTCTAGCTTGTACACATAGAGGTGTTCATAATAGTAGTCTGAGGGTTTTTTATATTTCTGTGGAGTCAGTGGTACTATCCCCTTTGTCATTTCTGATGTTATTTGGATCTTTTTTTATTAGTCTAGTTGGCTATCTATCTCTCTCACTTATTCTTTCAAAGAATAACTTAGGGATTTTTTTTTTTTTTTTTGCATCTCAGTTTCTTTCAAGTCAGCTATGAGTTTTGTTATTTCTTGTCTTCTGCCAGCTCTGGAGTTGGTTTGCTCTTGTTTCTCTAGATACGATGTTAAGTTGTTATCTGAGATCTGATTTTTTTATGTTGACCTTTAGAGCTGTAAATTTCCCTCTTAACACTGCTTTAGCTGTTTCCCATAGAATCTAGTATACATTGTATCTTTGTTCTCATAGTTTCAAACAATTTCTTGATTTCTGCCATAATTTGTTACCCAAATGCCATTCAGGAGCAAGTTGTTAACTTTCCATGTAATTGTATGGTTTTCAGCAATTTTCTTAGTATTGATTGCAATTTTTATTGTACTGTGGTCCAAGAGTGTGGTTGGCATGATTTCAGGTTGTTTTTTTTTTAAATTTGTAGAGGATTGTTTTATGTCCATTTGTGTGGTGGTTTTTACAGTATGTGCCATGTGGTAATGAGAAGAATGTATACTCTATTGTTTTGGGGTGAAGAGTTCTATAGATGTCTGCTCAGTTCATTTGGTCAAGGGTTGAGTTCAGGTCCTGAACATCTCTGTTAATTTTCTGCCTCAATGATCTAATACTGTCAGTGGGGTGTTGAAGTCTCCCATTATTATTTTGTGGACATCTAAGTCTCTTTGTAGGTCTCTGAGAACTTACTTTATGGATCAGGATGCTCCTGAGTTGGGTGCATGTGTATTTAGGATAATTAGGTCTTCCTGCTGAATTGAACCCTTTACCATTATATACTGCCCTTCTTTGCCTTTTTTGATCTTTATTGGTATAAAATCTGTTTTGTTTAAAATTAGAATAGCAAACTTGCTTTTTTCAGTTTTCCATTTGCTTGGCAGATTTTTATCCATCCCTTTATTTTGACCCTATGGGTGTCTTTGCATGTGAGCTAGGTCTCTCAAAGACACCTACCATTTAGTCTTGCTTCTTTATGCAGCTTGCCAGTTTGTGCCTTTTAATTGGGATATTCAACGCATTTACATTCAAGGTTATTATTGATATGTATGGATTTGACCCTTAATTGTGTTGTTAGCTAGTTATTATGTAGACTTAATTGTGTGGTTGCTTTATAGTGTCGCTATTCTGTGTACTTAAGTGTGTTTTTGTAGTGGCTGATAATGTTCTTTCCTTTTCATATTTAGCACTCCTTTCAGGACCTCTTGTAAGGCAGGTCTGGTAGTAATAAATTGCCTTACCATTTGATTGTCTGAAAAGGATCTTATCCTTCGCTTTTGTAGCTCAGTTTGACTGGATATGCACTTCTTGCTTGGAAATTTTTTCTTTAATAATGCTGAACATAGACTCCCAATCTCTTGTGGCTTGCAGGGCTTCTGCTGAAAGGTCTGCTTTGGCCTCATGGAGTTCCCTTTGTAGGTGACCCGCCTATTCTATTTTTCTTTGATTCCAACCTTGGGGAATCTGAAGATTTTGTTTCTTGGGGATGGTCTTCTTGTGAATTTCCTGAATTTGAATTTGGTCTCTTTACTGAGGTTGGAGAAGTTTTCTTGGACAGTATCCTGAAATATGGTTTCTAAGTTACTTGCTTTCTCCTCATTGTTTTTAGGGATGTCAGTGCATCGTGGATTTAGTCTCTTTACATAGTACAGTATTTCTCAGAGGCTTCGTTCATTGTGTTTACTCTTTTTAAAAAATTTCAGCCAGGCACGGTGGCTCACGCCAGTAATTGCAGCACTTTGGAAGGCCAAGGCAGGTAGATCACCTGAGGTTAGGAGTCCAACACCAGCCTGGCCAACATGATGAAACCGTGTCTCTGCTAACATGGTAGCAGGTACCTGTAATCCTAGCTACTCAGGAGGCTGAGGCAGGAGAATCTCTTTTTTTTTTTTTTTGAGACGGAGTTTCGCTCTTGTTACCCAGGCTGGAGTGCAATGACGCGATCTCAGCTTACCGCAACCTCCGCCTCCTGGGTTCAGGCAATTCTCCTGCCTCAGCCTCCCGAGTAGCTGGGATTACAGGCATGCGCCCCCATGCCCAGCTAATTTTTTGTATTTTTAGTAGAGACAGGGTTTCACCATGTTGACCAGGATGGTCTCGATCTCTTGACCTCGTGATCCATCCGCCTCGGCCTCCCAAAGTGCTAGGGTTACAGGCTTGAGCCACCACGCCTGGCCCGAGGCAGGAGAATCTCTTGAACCCAGGAGGCAGAGGTTGCAATGAGCCAAGATTGCACCATTGCACTTCAGCCTGAGCAACAAGAGCAAAACTCTGTCTCAAATTAAAAAAAAAAAAATTTTTTTTGTCCAACTTAGTTCAGAGAACCAGTCTTCAAGCTCTGTGATTCTTTCCTCAGGTTGGTCTGTTTTGCTGTTAATACTTGGGATTGCATTATGAAAGTTTTGTAATGTCTTTTTCGATCTCAGATCAGTTGGTTTCCTTCTTACAATGGCCATTTCATCAATCAGCTCCTGTATTATTTTATCATAATCATTAGATTCCATGGATTGGGTTTTGGCTTTCTCCTGAATCTTGATCTTCATTCCTATATTTTGAATTCTATCTTTCTGTCATTTCAGACATTCCTACTTAAGAACCTTTGTGGGGGAACTAATGTGGTCATTGGGAGGAAAGAAGATACTGTGGCTTTCTGAGTTGACAAAGTTCTTGCACTGGTTCTTTCTCATCTTTGTGGGCTGATGTACCCTCCATGGTATAATTTGTACAGTCGCTTGGCTTTTCTGGATATTTTCAGAAGCCAAGGCATTGTGCAGGGTCTTTATTTGTAGCTGAGTTATTGTCTTTTGTTTCACAGGAGGGCTTATTAGCAAAGTATTTTTGGTATTGAAGTTTGCGCTCTGATCAACAGATGGCTCTTAAGTGTAATGGCCAGTAGGTAAACTCTTGCTCAGCCACGTGGCTTTTCTGTATTTCCTCACCATTGCACATTGCAGCTGTGCTCCATCTCAGTGCTCTGAAAGTGTGGGCTCCTTTCCCACCCAATTGCTGGCTGCAGATCTTGGCTTGGCACTCCCAGGCTGCACACTGCAGCTCTGGGGTGAGCTAAGGCTTTATATTCTCTCCCAGCTTGGAGGCAGCAGGGGTAGGGACCTTGGCAGTGGCTGTGGCAGGGGTCACTTGTCTCTAGGAGCTCCACCCCAGAGAAATGCAAAACTGTGGCCAGTGTGATTGGCTTGGGATAGAGCAGCTGTGTTTTGGGCCCAAGCCGGGCCGGGGGGGCGCGGCGGGGGGGGGGGCGGGGTTCCTCGGGGAGACAGACTGACCTCTTCTTAGGACAGTGGCAGCTTGCTGGAGATATGGTTAAAGCACTCAGGGTCTTTGCCCTTTTCCTAATCCAAGGGTAGCAAGGGTACCACTGCAGTGGCAGAGGGGCTTTCAGTTGCCTCTGGGAGCTCCACTTCAGATACACAGATCTGCTGCTACTGGGATGTTCAGCCAGGGGTGGGGCAGCTGTGCTGCTGGCCTGAGCTGGGACCCCCACTGGGTGAAGGGTGGGGTGCTGAGGGCTCACAGGGAAGAGACTGGGCTCCCCTCTGTATGATGACTGTGTCATGTTAGCAGTCCAAGTAAAGCCTTCAGCCTCTTTGTTTCTTCTCCAGTTCAAGGACAGCAGGGGCAGAACTCTAAATGATGTTTTCATTTGCATAGTGTCAGCCTTCACTTGTTTGGTCTAGAAAATATTAATACATTTTGAATCTTACCTGATTTTACCTTCCTTCATTTCCCTTGACAGTGTTTCTAAAATCTCTGAAATGACAATGATCAGAGTAAGAGCAGTAGACACAACAGTGAAAATATAAATAACAGTATATTGGTTCTTTTCCCTAGCATTGCAATCGTGTGTGTTTAATAATTTAATATAGAGACTTTTACTTGTTAACCTTATTTTGTTAGCACACAAATGAAGAATATGGAGTAAGATCTATTTTTACAGTAGAATCAGAGTAGTAGAGTAGAAAGAGTCCACTGCAGCATCTCTGAAGCCACTTAATTAGCTGTATCACTAGGAGCTCTGAACTATAGGTTCCTCATTTGTGAAAAGAAAACAATAGACTAATAAGCTCTGAGGTGCCCTCAAGACCAAAATATATGGCTCTGTGATTATGGTTTCCTATTTCTTCTTTTTGCTACTAAGAATAATGTATTCAAACTAAGGAAAATTTTGAGTAGTCCTACTTAGTTGGATACCAAATTAGTAGAATTTGATATCTGATTTATTCTAATATTAGTAGAATTCTTCTGAGTTATGTTAATAACCTCTATTGAGTAGTAATAGAATAAATCTCTTAGAAATTTTGGATAATTTGCAAAGGAAATAGAAACGATGGTTCTGTTCATAGCCTTTAAAAAAATTAAATAGGAAGGAATGAACAAACAGAAAAATGTGTACCTGTGAATATGAGATTTCACTTTTTCTTACAAGCAAGTCAAAGTGAATTTTTTTTTTTAGCAATTCAGTTAATTCGTTCAGCAAATGTGCACTAAATATCTGCCATGTGCCAGGCATTAGGGATATAGTGTTAAAACTCCTGATGTCCTTGAGGAATATTATGGGATGTACTGACCAACAGGTACATACAGTGAGCTATGGAATTTTTAAGGCAAACAATTTGATTTTAAATAAATTTTTAGCTCAATAAAGGTAACATATGCAGAAATTAGCTTAAGACGCAAGCTTGGTCTTTAGCCTTTGAAGAATAAATTGGGTCAATAGTGGTGGAATATGAAATCAACAGGAATACTACATACTTTCTATGTAGACAGAGTGTACACCAGCAGTCGGATGTTTAATGGTATTCCTCTTACAGCCATTGGACATACCAGATGGTCGAAGAGCTCCACTCCCTGCTTATTACCGAAGCAGTAGTACTCGCAGCATTGACACTCAGACACCTTCTGTCCAGGAGCGCAGCAGTAGCTGCAGCAGTCATTCACCCTGTGTCTCCCCCTTTTGTCCCCCGGAATCCCAAGATGGTAGCCCTTGCTCAACAGAAGATTTGCTCTATGATCGTGATAAAGGTAAGAATGGAATCATCCTCTTAGCGGGTTTGTTATGGGCCTTGCTCATTATACTTTGTCTTAGACCATTGCATCATTTTTTTTTATTTTGTTGAATGGTGACATTGTCAAAGATTGGTTAATCTAGGTTTCTTTGTTCATTGGTTTCACATACCCCCTTCTTTGTGACTCTAACAAACATCTTCCATAAATGTGTCAGAGAAGCACAGCGCATGGTTCTAACAGCTAATGAAAGCCACAAAATGGAGTGTGTACAACTTGATATAATGCATAGGTCTTTTCCTTGATATTGTCCAGAGTGGATGATGGCTATGGTAGAGTTTATCCTTCTCAAGCTTAAAGTTAGATTTTATAATCAGATTGATTTGCAAGGAAATAATTTCTAAAAATTATGTTGGAAAAAAATGAGTGTGTTTTTAACCAAGTGTACTAAAACTTGGTTACATCCCTTGTACCTACAGGACATCAGGGATTATATTATGGTATGTAGATAAATTATTAACTGTTGAGAAACTCTGGGATTCTTATTGCCTATCAAGCCCAAACTGTCTCTCCATGTTCTTCTATCCTGTGTCCACCTCCACTTGTCTACCAACACTCCCTATATTCTTTCTGTTTCTAGCCCCCTAAGACCTAGCTACAGAAGGCCATGTAGACTGCCCAGCTTCTGCCTTCCTAGCTACTTACAAAGAAACACTGATCTTATTTTTATAAAACATTTACTGCTTGTCGCCATAGAGAGATAGGTCAATGGTAACAAAAATGTAAAACCGTACAAAGTTACGGTTTATAAAATCTTGCAGGAGGTTTATGGTCCTTGTTCTGAATTGACCCCTACCGCCTACGATTGATGGATTGTTATATGCAAAATGGCCAGATCATAAGTGCTCAGCCAAGTAAATTTTTACCTATGTGTGTGCTCATGAAATCACTACCTAGATCAAGCATAGATACAGAAGATTTTTATTACCCCCACAAGGCTCCCTTGGCCCTCTTCCCAAATACTATCCTTCCCCTCTCCACCTGAAAGTAACCACTGCACTGACTTCCATCACTATAGTTTCCCCTCTTACTAGATTTCATAGAAATTGAATAGTATGGTATATATTCTTTTTTTTTTTTTTAGTTTTTTTTTTTTTTGAGACGGAGTTTTGCTCTTGTTACCCAGGCTGGAGTGCAATGGCGCGATCTCGGCTCACCGCAACCTCCGCCTCCTGGGTTCAAGCAATTCTCCCGCCTCAGCTTCCTGACTAGGTGGGATTACAGGCACACGCCACCATGCCCAGCTAATTTTTTGTATTTTTAGTGGAGACGGGGTTTCACCATGTTGACCAGGATGGTCTCGATCTCTTGACCTTGTGATCCACCTGCCTCGGTCCCCCGGAGTGCTGGGATTACAGGCTTGAGCCACCGCGCCAGGCCCAGTATGGTATATATTCTTTGTGTCTGACTTCTTTTACTTATCATTATACCTAACTCTTCTGAGACGTTAAGTGGAAGCTACTTTAGACTTTGTCCTCTTCTTATACATGTGGGTAGATCCAAAGAGGTTTTTCCCCTTTCTTGTTGACCATTTCATTATTGAAGGCCTTGGGGACCCCTTACCTTCATTAAGGATATATTGAATGTAGTACCTCAGGTATCTCTTGGCTTCATGTGGGAAGTCTCCATTTCTTAAAATGTCAGACTATGAAACTTTCATTTCACCGAAGCGTCCTGTGAGAGCAGATACCTTCAATCACTTCCTCACAACCTTTTAATGTGGATGTTTCACAATAAAACAAAACATCTTGCTTCCAGTGGGAGTGTTTGTTTTGAAGGTAAATGGAAATGTTACTATTATTTATCAATAGTAACTTGTTTTAGGTTGTATAGGTGGAGAACAGAGAAACCAGTCTGTCTTGATTCCAAACTCATCCTTTTTGTTATACCAGTAGAAAGGATAAGTACAGTTCAGGGTGGCCACTTTTGCTACTTAACTCTCATAACTGGGGTAAAAATAAAAAGTATAAATAATGGTAGTAGTACAACTAGACAATTCTGGAGTTCTGTTTTCTTTAATACTGTGGATAAATGAGAGATGCTGAACCAAATATAAAATGTATTGAGAAGATGATAGATGAGTTAGATTTTGGTTAACTGGTTATAAGATTACCTTCAGGGCCTCTCAGTGAATACTGGTTTCTGGAGCTCATAGGTCTTCACTTACATCGTAAGTTTCAAACAGTGTATGATCTTTAATATTTAATAGCTGTTTTTCCTAAAGATGTACAATCTATTGTATTATGAGAAGGTATGATCATTTCACTGTCCTGCCAGAGTCTTTTGCAGGAGACATAACATGGAACCTAAGAGTAGCACTGGCTTTGGGACCATAGAAATGCATTTGAATCCTGTGAAATTTTGGACATAAAACCTGCATTAATTCTCAAGGATTTAATGAATGGCAGTTGCTCCTATAAAAAATAGTCACCTTTATTATCACCTGTTAGTTTCCCTAAATGCCTTCAGGAAAAAATAATTATTTTTTTCTTCCACAGCTTAGTCAAAATCTCCTTCTCTGGCCTAGCTTGTGTCAATTATCTAGTAATGTGAATTCTGACCATTTCTTAGACAGGTTAGACCTTTTCCTAAGATTTGCCTTTGTTTGTATATTTTCCTCTATGTCCTTTTGTTCTTCCATACCAGATACCTGCCTGCATAACACTATGCTCATCCTCTTGGTTGGTTTTATTTTTTGGTTTAACATGTAAAATTAGAACATTGGTTCAGATCATCACTAAAGGTGGAGTTTTTTTCCTAATAGTTAAAAAATATTTCTTGGTAAAATAGGGTAATAACACCTACCTCATATCATTATTGGGGTTACATGAGATATAGCAAAATGCTTAGCACAACTTTTGGCACATGGTAAACAGTCAATAAGTGGTGATTAATGTTGCTTAATAGTGATTTTTTAAAAATCTCTTTAGAACTTGTAAATATAGAATGGGTTTCATAATTATTTAAGACATTTCTCTGTTTTCTACAAGATCACCTCAGTTTGAGAATTAAAGCCCCATGACATCAGTTTCATAATATCTACCATATTTAGCTAAGAGGCATTACTTTGTGATTAAGATCAACTTTATGTTACTACTCCCGGGAAAACTGTGTAGCTCTGTTATGCAATACAAGGTTTCTAGTTCTCAAAAAATCAAATACCATCTTTGTAAAGAGAAAATTAAAATAGCACCTATCCCTTTCATATATGTAAGTATGCACATGTGTATTTTAGAATTGGGAGTTGAGGTTTATGTATTTCAACTGAGGTTATACTTTGAGTTTATTTAAGGAACACTTGTTGAGAGTTTATTTTATGTCAGCTATTATACTAGAGAGTGGAGAAACAGAGATGAATAAGATGTGACAGTCTAATAGGGAGTAATAGGAATGTAAACAAATAATACACTCAAAGTATAAAGGAGGGAGTTGTCCAAAAATTGTAAAATTTCTGAAACTAATATATGTTATGTCATTTGAACTGTAGGCTAGTTTCTGACTCATTTCTTCTTTATGTAAAGCCCAAACTATGGGTTTTACCATTTTTAAAGATACTAGGATTACTTTCTGTAATCCTAAGACTTTGGGAGGCCAAGGTGGGCAGATCACTTGAAATCAGGAGTTCAAGACCAGCCTAGCCAACATAGTGAAGTTCTATCTATACTAAAAATACAAAAAAGCAGCCAGGTGTGGTGGCATGCACCTGCAGTCCCAAGTACTTGAGAGGCTGAGGCCGGAGGATCTCTTGAACTTGGGAGGTAGAGGTTGCAGCAAGCGGAGATCAGTCACTGCATTCAGCCTGGGCAACAGAGCAAGACTTTGTCTCAAAAGAATAAAGATACTAATTCTTCCTATAATGTATGTTTTCTACAGTAAATCATAAATTGGTTTTTATTTTTTAAAGACAAAAGGAAGCTGTATAGCTTTCTTAGAGCTTTTCATTATTGTGAAAACAGAATGAATTCTATAATTTTGAAGTCAACTAGGATTGATTTGATATGGAGTACCTACATATCAACAAATTCTGAAGTTGCTTTAAAGAAATGTATTCTGTGGTAAAGTAACTAGTTCAGACTCCATAGGAGCCTGGATAGACATACACAGGTGGGAAGAGGGACAGCTGCAGTGCATATCTTCCCTAATGAGGGATGTGCTGGTGAGCTGATTATTTTTTTAGTGTTCATGTTATATACTTACTCTTTTTCTGACTTTGCCAACATTATTTTTGCCTGTTCCTAACATCTATTCTATACAATTATGTATCATTTGAGACCTATAAAATAATTTTAGCTGCATCACACATTGGCTTTTTTTCTTTGCCTGTATGGATTGCAATGCCAGGACAAAAACACTTTTATCAAGAAGGTTTCAACTGTTGAGAGACTTATTTCAGGTGAATGGGTTTTTTGTCTTTTGTTTTGATTTTTTACTAGATTTTTCTGGTGACCTAAAGTCGGAAGACAGCTTGGTCACTCTGGTCACATGTGTAAAGTTGCCAGGCTAATAGCTGTAGCAACTACTACTGCTCTTCTATGTGTGAAGAATTCAGAGACCCAGAATAAGAGCAGTCATAGAGTGTACCCTAAGAAGTAGCTTGCATTCTTCCACATTATAATGGCCAAAATAAAATGCAAGGAAGAAAAATAGTCATTTATGTAACTATTTATAATGGTCAGAATATTAGTTTCTTAAGCAATTCTGCCAGCATTGCTTGATGGTAGCCAAACATGCTGGGCAAGCTGCAAAATCTAGACTTCAGTCAGCTACTTATCATTGATCTTTGGCACAGTTCACTTACGCAGTTGTTATAAAATTCTGCAATTTTGCAGGATATTGTGGAAACATTGATTATGGTAATCATGAAATAAATGGAATCATTTTATTCAGGCCAACTACTGAGAGTTGTATTCCAAGCATCCATAAATTTATTACTTGTAATTTAAGCTATATTTTCCTGA